TATTGGGATGATGCTCTAACCAACTGAGCTACCTGGCCAGGGCCCTCAATCACACTGGAAATTAGCTTCTTCTTCTTCCCTTTTTTTAAAAAAAAATATTGATTTTTTTACAGAGAGAAAGGGAGAGGGATAGAGAGTTAGAAACATTGATGAGAGAGAATCATTGATTAGCTGGCTCCTGCACATCCCCATCTGGGGCTCGAGCCCACAACCCAGGCATGTGCCCTTGACCGGAATCGAACCTGGGACCCTTCGGTCTGCAGTCCAACGCTCTATCCACTGAGCCAAACCAGCGAGGCAATAGAAATTAGCTTCTTATGATCTGTATTCCTGGCCAGACTGGAAGCTTTCTAATAAGCTTTGCAATTTTTCAAACCAAGAGCTTAGGAGAAATTAGGGGTTTCTTAAGTTTTCCTTAATTTCTGGGCCTAGTAAGTATTACATTGATTAAAGGACTCTTATGTGTCCTGTAAATAGTACTGCTGGTTCGTAAAGAAAATACCAGGAGCTTTGTTCCTACTGACTGCCTGTCCTCGCTGGTAACATTCTAAAAGCCTGGTAGGTGAGAATGTTAATTCCTACAGGCTTGTCTGTCTCCTCTCACCTCGGCTCTCTCTCAGCTGCTGCTCCTCCCCTGTTCCTAAGCTAAATATTAGAACCAGAGTCTGTGGCTGTTGCTGGATGGTATTAGATTCCTATTTCCTGTTCCTAATTTAAAAAGTGAACGAAGTCTCTCATCCAGAAAGAAGCTCCCACGTCCCAGCTTTTAATGTTGGTCCATGTTAAACTGATGCAATTTCCAGTAGTAGAATTGACAGCACTCGGACATGAAGGTAGGAAAACTCTTTTTTTCAGACTTTCCCTGGGTCAGTCTGATGGTGTTCTCCATTGTTCTGAGTAACAGCTTTTCCTATAATTGGGCAAAGGCCTGGTTTTAGTGACACTTGCCCTGTGGAGGCGCTGTTACAAAGATACTGGGTAACAACGCACACCACTGTCCTTTCTTTACTCAGGGTTTGTTGCATGCCCCAGAGTTGCCTGGCTGCTGCCTGATTGCCCTGCGGAGGGACCCACTGGAGCCTGGGAGGCCGAGGCCTTGCGGCGGAGCTATGCCCGGCTCTCCCCACAGAGGTCTCCCTCTGCCCATTTTCTGAGGGAGCCCAGCCCCTAGCAGAGCTGGTTTTGCTGAAACGGACAGCGCTAATGGCTCACTGTAAATGGGAACATGTGTCATTTAGACTAGGATACCAGATGGCTGGGGGCTCAGCTGTCTGCCAGGATAAGTGGGTGGAACCAGGAAAAAAAAGAAATGGGTGGGGGTAGGAAATGGAAACCACTCCTGTGTTATTTTTAACGCACCTGTAGAAATAGAGATCATTGGCCAGCTTCCTCCCAGTAGTATTTCCCCCTCAGCTTGACCCTCCTCCCTGGGGCTTAAGTCAGTGTTGCTTATTAGTTGCCCCAGCAACGATGGAAAGCCTGGGAGAGTGATTGCGGGAAGGGCTGGATGGTGTCCTTCCTGGTGTCGGCAGAGGCTGAGGACCATTCTGACTTGCACTTGTCAGTTGCCTGGGTGCTGAGTCTCCTGAAGTACCTCCAGCTCATCGCTTGGGGAGTTAATGAACTCTGAACAGCTGTAAGATTGGCTTTATTCATTTACTTATTTATTTGGGGGAATAAAACACGTGTAGGCCACACTTTGATAGTGGGGATGTGTTATGAAATAAAGAAGAATTAATGTCACAAATAAGTGGCACTTTCTAATTTAGAGAGGGAAGTAAAAGAAAACCTGCTTCCACCATGAGCAGTAAATGCTGACCGGCTCATCTTATCTTCATTTCAAAGCCGGCCTGCCGAGCGACCTCTGCCCTGGAAGGGGCTGAGGACAGGAAGTGGATGCTTTCTGAGGCCATGTGTCTGTTATCAGTGTTGGTCAGAAGCGGGACTGAGGAGGGGTTGCTTCCTGGAAGACCTTGCAGTAGACATGAGCCGGATTGCCAGGGGGGTAGGAAGCTTGCCCCACACTCCTTCCCCTTTCCGTCCTAGTTCTAGAGCCCAGAGAAGAGGTTTGGGAGGTTTCGCACCCTCTCAGTGTCACATCTCTGATTAATCGCATCTCCATCTACCTCCATTCTTTTCTCCCCATGAGTTTGTATTTGCAGCCCTTGAACTTCAATAAAGGAAAAAAATCATCATTCACTGATAGATCAACATAATTTGATTTCATAGCACTGGCAGCTTGGGATGTGAGAATCTCTGTTTTCTTCTTTGAGGCCTGAGCTTGCTCCTTGGGCAAAACTCTCCTTAGCTTGTCTCACCACCAGCCAGGCTAAAACGCGAGACTGATAGGCATCCCTTCAAAAAAGCTGCCTCGGTTCCCCTGAGTTCTCTTGTTTGGGGGCCACATTCAGTAATTTTGTAAGAAATAAGTTTGCGAGTGTGGTTGTTGCCATGTGGCTGAGAGGAAGTTCTCTTTAGGAAGTCGTTGAAAGTCGAAACATGATAGAGGCAGCTTCCCTAACGCTCCTGCCCGTGCTCCTGCCCCGTGCTCCCGCCCTGTGAAGCCTGCCAGGCCTTCTGGAGTGAGGGATGGCCTGAGAGGCCCTGGGGATGTAAGATCTGAGGCCAGTGCTTTGAAACAGTGTTGGATAAATTGCAACAATTTGCACTGTAGCAATAGTAGCCCATGGGCACTAAATACTTAATCCTTTCAATTTAATCATCTGTTTGAGTATTGCCTTAGTTACCTTTTAAGGAAAGAATGAAGCTAGATTACAGGGAATAATTAGCGGTATGTTACAGAATTGGTGTTTGCATCTTGTTAGAAAACTGCCAGCTCTTATCATCACATGATTTGGAAATAATTTCCTGACTAAGTCTCCTTCACCAACACCGCCTGCTTTTCCCCAGCAGCTGTGGGCCGGCGACTAGAGGGCTATCGCCACTTGGATGGGAGGGTTCCTGTGGGGGATGAGGTGGGCAGTGGTGGCATATGCTGCACAGATCCAAGCCTTTGTGCTCTTAATCTCCCTTGGCACGAGGCCTAGAACCCGAAGCAGGAGGGCATTGGATATCAGCAGCTTCGTTGAGAAGCACTTCAATGTGACGTTTGTGTCTTGAGAACCAAGAAATGCCACATTGGCAGAGATCGGGCCCGTCCACCCCACACTCTGTCTCTGACAGTGGGCACCAAAAGATGATCTGTTGGGAAGCATCCCTGCTGGCAGCCTCCTGGGCTCTGCACCCAGGATCTCTGGCTTCCTGTTAATAGTCCATGGTGGATATGTTATCCAGGAATGTTTTAAAATCCTTCTTGAAACTATTCATATGTGCCAGCTCTTAGAGTGACAAAGTCCAGAAGTCAGCAAATATTTGAGTGCTTACTGTATGCCTAGCACAGTACTAAGCATTGTAGATGATACAAATGATGCTTAATACTTGGTCCCTACCCCTGAGCTTACACTTTTTTGAGAAGATAAGACTCAGTTGCAACGTGTAGAAAAAGATGGCCAGTGATAGCAGATGTCACCTGGGGAACGCCAAGCACACCACGAGTGGATCAAGTTCACAGTAACAGAGCTCAGAGACTGATGTTTAAAAATAGGATGACATTATTAATAACCTATGGTGAAAAAGACAACTATTAGCCCTGGCTGGTTTGGTTCGTGGTTAGATCGTTGGCCCGTGGACTGTAGGGTCAGGGGTTCAATTCCGGTCAAGGGCATGTACCTCAGTTGCAGGTTCCATGCCCAGCTCTGGTCGGGGCGCTTACTAGAGGCAACCAATCAACGTGTCTCTCTCACATCGATGTTTCTCTCTGTCTCTCCTCCTCCATTCCACTCTCTTAAAATCAGTGGGGAAAAAAATATCCTCAAGTGAGGATTAACAAAAAAAAGAAATAAAAATACATCAGACGGACTGGACACTGTGTTCTCTCCCTTATGGGAATCTAATGGGAAGCCAAATGAACAATTATTGAATTCGACAAACAGCCCAACACAGCCCATCTCACCGTCCCTAGAAAAAGACCACGTTTGTCTTTCTGATGAGTCCTGCTCTAAAGCTGGTTGATCCTTTTCATGTGTTAGTATGTTCAGCCCTAGCAGTCCAGCCCTGTCTCTGAGGTATCTTTGCACATCTCTGCTCTGTTCATATTAGGTGCCTAGGAGTTGATTGCTTGAAGGTAATTCTTCTTTCCTAAATATTTTGAGAGGAGGCACCTGTATCGAATATTGATTCCTTCCCCTCATATACCTCCTACATATGCAGCAAACAGTTCAAAACAAGGTAGGATGAAGAGCTGAATTGTGTAGTGTGGGCTATTTAAGGTAGGAAAACAAGTCGGAGAGGTCAGTGTGGGCTGGAGATGCTAATGAAGGCTTCTGTGTGGGGCACAGATGGGACTTGAGTTCATACTTGAAAAAGTAGAAACTCAGGGGAGAGAAGGTAAGGAAGCATGAAGGAGGAGTAGCCCGGGGGAGCAGCGCGCTCATGTTCTGGTTGCCCCTCCTCAGTGACACTCAGCACCTGCCTTTCTGGCTGAAGAAGAGTGAGGCAGCCTGGGGCGGCGGCCGGCCTGGTCACCGTCCTGACGCTCTGACTTAGGGGCTGACATCTGCACTCCCTGCGTGTCGATGTCCACATGTGTACAGTGGGAACAGTGCCATCTGCCTTGTGATTTTTATTGTGTGGGAGGGATTAAGTGAGAGAATGTATATGCATGTTCTAATGCATAGTAGGAACTCATTAAATGTTAGCTGAGTGAATGGAGCTGATTTCTTCGGGAAGAAATTTATCCTGATTTATAGGTTGCTGAGTTCCCTGTGATTCCTGTGGTGGTTGATGGCACCCGGCATAGCAGTAATAGCCTGGTTTGCTTACACATAAGCTCAACATAGCATGTCACAGACTTCCGTGCTGTCCCCTCTGGGCCACTGTGGTTTCTTTAAACGGTCCCATTCAGAATCTTAAAGTTGTTGCCAAATGTTTCAGTACTAACCAGTTTAATTTTCTTCCTTTTAGGTGCGGAATGGCCACATCAAAAGAATCACTGATAATGACATCCAGTCCCTGGTGCTGGAGATTGAAGGAACAAATGTCAGGTAGGCTGAACTCTGTTTTCCTAGAGACACTGTCCAAGGAGGCGGCACCTCATGAGGCGAAAGGCACAGCTGTCTGGTCAGGCCACCGGGTGTGAATCCAGCTCTGCTACTTGGAGTTTACCCGGGCAAGTTCCTCCGTCTCCTTGGCCTTTCTTTCCTCATCTGTAAAATGGGAGAACAGTACATCTTTCCTGAAGGGTGATTGTGCAGATTAAATGAGTGAATGTGGATAAAACACTTACTAGTAGAATCTGCTTAGCACATGTTAAGCGCTGTGCAAATATTAGATATTATTAATATTTAACCAAGGTGTGTGTGTGTTGGGGGTGGCCATTGTGGGCTTTGGTGCCAAAATGGTCTTAGTTTTGGCTTTCTATCATTTGTTGGTTCTCTTAGACCAGAAGTAGATCTTCTCTCACTGGAAGAACTGCCTCAGATCCACTGGTCTGGTTTTGCTTTTCAGGTATTTTATTGTTGGTGTCTAGTCCTATGTTGAGCTTTTGTTTCAGAGTCCAGCATTTTTTTTTAAATTATTCGGGAATATGTTCTTATTGATTTTTAGAGAGAGAGGAAGGTGGGGGGAGAGAGAGAGAGAGAGAGAGAAACAATGATGCGAGAAAGAAACATCAATCAGTTGCTTCCTGTGTACATCCTGACTGGGGATCGAACCTGCAACCCAAGTATGTTTCCTAACCAGAAATCGAACCCTCAACCCTTTGTGTATGGGATAATGCTCTAACCAACTGAGCCACCTGGCCAGGGCCAGAGTCCAGCGTTTTTTAAAGCATTAGCTGACTTAAGGGTTGAGGGCTTCATTGGCTGATGTGTCTGGAACTAGTAGATCTGCCTTTCGATTTATCCTCTTGGGCCGTGGGTTGTTGCTGTGCGTACACAGAGGAAAGGATCAGTAGTGTGTTTATTGGCATTTCCTTCTCTACAGCACCACATACATCACGTGCCCTGCAGACCCAAAGAAGACATTAGGAATTAAACTTCCATTCCTTGTCATGATTATTAAAAACCTGAAGAAATACTTTACTTTTGAAGTACAGGTAAGTGTGCACACATGAATGTACATGTTCTTGGCTGTGCCAGAGAGGTGTCCCATCAGCCTATAGGAAAATGTCTTCTTTACTGCCTGTGCCGTAAACTTGATTCAGCCCTTATTTTGACGTACATTTGGTATTAGTAATCATAATTTAATGCCAAGTTTTTAAAGAAATGATAAATTTAACTATAGCGATAAGATTTCAAAACTTAAGGGTTAGAGTAGTGTTCATTTGGGGAGTAACCGTTTAATACTGAGTTATTGTTGGTCTCTATTCTAGTGGCTGCCTCCTGCACGTCCCTACTGGGGATCAAGCCTGTAACCGGGCATGTGCCCTGATTTGGAATTGAACCATGTGGTGTATGGGTCCACGCTCAACCACTAAGCAACACCGGCCAGGCTATTTCTCGTAGTTTTTATTTTCAAAGGGAAGAATGTTTATGAAGTCATTCTATGGCCTGAGAGCCTGGTGGGTGGGTGTGTCATATGTCATAAGCAGCTGGTGTTGTCTTGGCAACAAATAAGATAAACTTGCTCCTTCCAGGCCATCTGCATCCAGTGTGACCTGTGTCTGGTCTGTTTATCCTCCCTGGGGCCTCAGCCTTGGAAATCAGGGCTGTGGAAGTTCAGGTCCTTGCCGTACCCAGATTGCTAGCTTCTTCCGGGGTGGAGGGAGCGTGACTCTTGTCTCCATTTCACAGGTACTAGACGACAAAAATGTGCGTCGGCGATTCCGGGCAAGTAACTACCAGAGCACCACCCGGGTGAAACCCTTCATCTGCACCATGCCCATGCGGCTGGATGACGGCTGGAACCAGATTCAGTTCAACCTGTCCGACTTCACTCGGCGGGCGTACGGCACCAACTACATCGAGACCCTGAGAGTGCAGGTGCCAGGCTCTTTCCAGATGGAGCCCACGTGGGACGGGGGGTGCTCTGTCACTGGCTTGGGTCCACGGGACAGAGAGTGGGTTTCTGGATCAGGCCCCCAAGTGCAGGGGGTTCTGCTCAGAGGTAGCGGGAGAATAAGGCGAGCAAATCCCTCTTGTCAGAATCCACCCCAGGCCAAGCAGGAGTCGCCAGGGGATGACGCTTGGACAGCACGTGGGGCGGGGGAGTTCTAGGAGGACCGGGAGATGAGGAAGGACAGTCACGTTGAGTTTCTCAAAATAAGCCTGGTGCCCACAGATCCACGCCAACTGCCGCATCCGCCGGGTTTACTTCTCAGACAGACTGTACTCAGAGGATGAACTGCCTGCGGAGTTCAAACTCTACCTCCCGGTTCAGAACAAGGGGAAGGTAAGCAGCCAGGGCCCCGAGGAAGGCCGGGCAGTGGGTCGGGAGGCTGTGTCCTGGCCAGTGCTCTGCGTTGGCGTGGAGAATGGGGTGCCTTTCCATCGTGAGACCCGAGTCTTCCCACCCTCAGCACTGAGTCAGGAATGAGCCTGGAAGGTTCTGCTGTGCTCCTCCATCTCCACAGGTGATCCTGCCCCTCCTGGGGGTTCGGGGTGCAGGGCATCACAGGCACCCATCAAACCACTGTTTTAAAAGTCCTCACCAGAGGCCGAGACCGGTTTTGCTCAGTGGATAGAGCGTCGGCCAGAGGATATTTTTTCCATTGATTTTTAGAGAGAGTGAAAGGGAGGGAGGAGGGAGCGGGGAGGGCGGAGAATCATCGATGTGAGAGAGCCACATCGATTGGTTGCCTCCCGCACATGCCCGACCAGTGCTGGGGATCAAACCGCAACTGAGGTACGTGCTCTTGACCCTTTGATCCACAGGCCAACACTAACCACTGAGAAAACCTGGCCAGGGTCCATGGAACCCCTTTATCAGCCCGTTGCTCTCTCCTCTGACACGATGGCAGCGCTACCTGCCTGCAGCTGCTGACGTGTGCATTTCCTGCAGCTCAGCATCCTGCGTGCCACAGAGCTCGGGGATCAGGGCGCTGACCATCTATTTCTGATAACTTGAATCGGTGCCTCTTTTTTCTCCCTTTAGCAATAACTAGAATGCAACTCAAGGGATAGACCCTGGACCCAACTCTTAGTTTTAAAGGAAACTATCTGGAGGACAATGCAGAAAAACAAATATTTCTATTAGTTCACTGTGCTGTGGTTCTTTTGTCTACTCCTTGGTGTCCCTTGTCGCGGACACAGTGACCATGTCGTACGTAACGCATCGTAAGTACAGTGGGGAGGCGGGGCTGCTGGCATTTTTCCCGCTGCCACCCCAGCGCGTGGGAGATACTTCCCACGAGCTTACAGAATTAAAAGTGTCCATTTCAGACCAAAATCTCTTTCTACGGTTTGTTCTTTGTTTTATATATTATCTAAATATATGTATATGCTTGTAATACTCATAATCTGGAAATGAATAAAATGTTATATTCTTGGTTTGTACATTTGTTCTTCGTTTGTGTCTTTTTTAATGGTGACGTTTCTAGTTTGTGTCTTTTTTAATGGTGACGTTTCTCTTTTCTTTGTGGTATGAAAATAGAACTCTTTCCAAAGACTGGCCCATGCATTCGTGCTGTGCAATAGCTGGCAGTGAGTGCTTAGAACAAGACTGAGCTATAGATACTGACTTGGAACAACTTTCAAGATGAACAAGTGGAAAAACCCAGGAATGGTGCAGGACTAAGCGAGTCACTAAGTGACTCACCTTCCTGAGTCACTGAAGACCAAGCACATCTAGTCTGATTGCCTCTGTATCAGCAACGCCCCCAGCGCTGGGGCGGGCACCGCCTCCCACTCAGGCTCTACAGGAAGTACCTCCCTGGACTTGGGGGCTTCGGGGAAAGCGGCTTCTTTAAGCACAAATCACTTGAGACCTGAAACCTCCTGCACTTGCCCACTCGCACTCATTCTGGGCCACGCTGGCTTAGACAGGTAATTAATTTACGCACGTGAAACCCTTAGCTCCCGCTCTACACGTGTTCATGCCTGGGGAAGCAGTTGGGGCGCAGACAAGAGCACATGTAGATGCACCTAGATGACCTTGAAGGCCACACAGCACAGTGATTGCATCTGAAGAGAATGGTTATGGTACCCCTGGATGCTTTGTTGGACACTGAAGAATATTTTTCAAAAGGTAACATTTATGTAATAGAAACGTGGAAGTCAGAAGGAACGAAGGGCCATCCTAGGCACCGCGTTCTCCTTCCACCGGGAGAGGCCGGGGTGGTGGGCAGAGCCGTGGCTTTGATGAGAGGTGAGAGCACGCAGTGCCAGCTGGGGTTGATGCCTGCCTCCTGAGCAGTTAAATGGTGAGGGCACCGGCTCCAGGTCCTCCTCGGAGCCTGCTCTGGGCCAGCTCGGCCAAGTCTGCGAGGGGCAGGGGCTGCAGGAGGGAAGGGTGGACGAAGGAGCCCCTCTCTGCCTCATGGCTCAGTTCCATTTCCCCTCAGTCGTTCGCTGCCTGGCACGTAGGTGGGCTCAGCTCATAGTACTTGGCCCTTTGTCTCCTGCTAACGACCAGACTGGAGCCCCTTCCCCCTGGGGGCCGCCCTCTCCTTTGCGAGCCACCGGCCGGCCATTCACACCAGGTGACTGCTCTTTCCGGGCCAACGCGTCACATCTGAGTGTTGTCCGAGTCCCATCCTTCCATTCCTGCCTTAGACTCCATGTGTCTCCGGAGCTTTCTGGGTTTCAGGGGGAACCTCAGAAAAGGAGGGGGGTCGGGGATTCACAGAGCCGCTTGTCTCTGGCCACTGGAGCGAGGTCTTCCCTCCAATCTGGAGTCTGTTGTGGATGAAAGATGCTTTTGTGGAGCCAGAAAGCGGGTTAACTTCTCTCCCCTCGGTGCCGGGTGTCAGCGATGTGCCCTGGAGCCCGAGAAAGACAGTAACACGCTCTCCTCACACACAGCCCCCTTCACCGCGCTGGCCGGACTATGTATGGCCATTACCTCACCGCCCTCTCCGGGGTGGAAGGCAGCAGCTGTTGCCTTTCCAGATGCTTCTCATAGCCATCCGAGAGGAAGTGAGGGGGCGTCAGGGTGATGCCATGAATTATCTAAGCTGGCTCCGGGCCAGCGCGCATGGTGGCACCAGCGGCTGCCCGGCCTGGCCCTCGGCTCCCAGCTCACCAGGAAGATGACTGGTGAGGCCACAGGTGGGGGTGGGAAGGACAGGCTGTGGGGCCAGAGTGACCTCAGACTGTGGAAGCTGGAGCGGGCAGGCACCTATCTAGCTCCCGGCGGTCAAGGCGCTTTAGAGGAACCACCTTCCCAGCGGGAGTGAGTTCACGGCATGAACTCGGGGGGACAGGTGCACAGCCACTCCCAACAGGGCTTGTTTTGGGGGAGGGCAGACCCACCAGGGCCCCTGTTTGCCACTGGCCCGTGGGCTGCCTCCCTGCAGCCAGGCCAGCCCCTGCTTGGGTATCTCTGGAGGAGACAAGTGGGCACCAGAGAACCCGAGTGGGTCTTCCTGGCACCTCGGCAGCTGGAGCCAAAGCCTCGGGGTCGGAACTCACTGGAAAAGGTCTTGGATCTCTCCTCTGAGCCCCTCGCGCCCTGATGAGGACACTGCAGCCGGAGAGGCACGGGCTAGCCCCCTAAGCGTGGCAGGGGCAGAATGAGGACCCAACCCCATGACGGGAGTCAGAGGCCAGCCCTGTCCTCCCTGGTGTTGGCGTCCCTGCCTCCTGCGGGGCTGGCTGTGCCCTTTTTGTAGAGTACATTAGGTCAGATCGTGTCCACCTGGTGGCTGGGCCAGGCCAAATGTGTCTGCTCAGGAGGGGTCAAGGGCTAGACCAGTGATGGCGAACGTATGACACATGTGTCAGAGGTGACATGCAAGCTCATTTTTTTGGTTGATTTTTCTTTGTTAAATGGCATTTAAATATATAAAATAAATATCAAAAATATAAGTCTTTGTTTTACTGTGGTTGCAAATATCAAAAAATTTCTATATGTGACACGGCACCAGAGTTAAGTTAGAGTTTTTCAAAATGCTGACACGCCGAGCTCAAAAGGTTCGCCATCACTGGGCTAGACTGAGCTCTGCCTTCGCAGTGAGGGCTTCCTGGTTTGTCACTCCTTGATCACACATTAGCTGAACTCCAGGGCCTGGGGCTGAAAAGCTGTGGGGTAGCCCAGCCCGCATGGTTCGCACCAAAAGGTTGTGGGTGTGATTCCTGGTCAGGGCACATACAGGAAATGGCCAATGGATAATTCTCACACTGATGTGTTTCTCTCTCTCTTTCTCTCTCTCTCTCTCTCTCTCTCTCTCTCTCTCTCTCTCTCTCTCTTTCCTTTCCCTCTCCTTCTCTGAAATCAATAAAAAAAATATTTTTTAAATAAAAAAAGAAAAGCTATGGGGCAAAGGTTTGTGTTGAACTAATGGACATAAAATTAACACATGCTCATGGGAAATTGAAACTGTACAAAGAATCCCAGTTCCCATTCCTGAACTGAAAGTGTTTGAGTGGCCAGGCAATGTTTTAACGACTTTCCATGTACTTGTTTTACTGAATCATCACAACACAGAATTAGGAGCGATTATTGTCATTTCACAGATGAGAAAACCAAGGCACAAAGATCAGAGTGGCCAAGCTTACACAGCGATGCCCCAGGTGGTGGAAGCTGGTTTCAAACTCAGCCTGTTTAACCCCAGCACTGGGCTCTTCAGTTACTCGACTTTTCTGACCCACTATTTCCTCATCAACAAAATTAGCCCGATGATAGATCAAGTGTGTTATCTCCACATAATGGAATACTACGCAGCCATGAAGAGTGCCAAAGTACAGCGAGGGGCAATACCACAGGACAGCCACACAACCATAATGCAGAGTGAGAATAGCAAGGCACAATATATTAGAGATGACCCCATTTCTACAGGATTTATAAAAAATATATTTTTATTGATTTCAGAGAAGAAGCAAGAGGGAGAGAGAGAAAGAGAAACATCAGTGATGAGAGAGAATCATTGATCGGCTGCCTCCTGCACTCCCTACACTGGGGACTGAGCCCGCAACCTGGGCATGTGCCCTGACCGGGAATTAAACCGTGACCTCCTGGTTCATAGGTCGACGCTCGCCCACGGAGTCACACCGGCCGGGCTCCACACCATTTTTAAATAGGCGAAGGAATATATTGTTCTGGGATGCATCTATAACGACAGCCTCTAGTGAGGCAGGGGACAGTGTCTCGAAGCTCAGGAGAGTGATTCACCTAGCGTTGGGGGTGGGGGGGTGGGGGACACAAGTGACCACTCCCCTTCAGGGGGCTTCCGGGGACCCCGAGGCTTTATGTCCTAACCGAGGTCGTGTTCACACAGGGGCGTGCGCTTCATTACTATTTCAATTACGTACACCAAGCTATTCTGATTATGTTTCTCAATTTTAAAACAGTTCGATTTAGATGACTGCGCCCTGGCCTATTAAAATGCAGGCTCGTGGGGCCCAGCTCATTAACATGCAGATTCTCTTTCAGGAGATCTAAATCTGGCCCAGAAATCTACATGTTTAACAGCTTCCCCTGATGATCTGTGATGTTTCTGTCACTTGAGAAGCTCCTCCAAACTGGAGGGAGCAAGAATTGATGGGATAGCTTCCGAGTGCAGAAAGGCCAGATGCTGGGAGGGGAGAAGGCATACAGCATCCCCGCCACGGGCACATCTGCAACCTCCCCCGGTCCCCTCCCCGGACACCTGCAGTTCCCTTTCTACAAATCCCTGCCTAGCAGGTAGCTTACATCTCTATACATTTTCCCATAATGCAAGCCGCAGGGCGCTCCCAGTTGTAAACCCACAAGGCATCGGACATCTGGCTGGAGCATGAGCCTTGGAAAAACCGTGCCTCTTGGTCTCCATGGTGTCTGAAGCAAAGCAAAAAAATAAAAATCTCCACCTCTGGATTTGAAGGAATGCACAGCTGTGATGGGGGGGGGGGCGGGGGGAGTGGAAACACATGGACAGAACCCTCATTACAGGGGTGGAGGGCGTCACTATTGCATGAGGGTAATAACTATAAGGCCTCTGCCATCGCTTGGGTTTCCCCCAACACTTTCTTCCTTTACATCTTACGTCTTGAATCCTGGTGTTTGGGGAGGGAATACAGGGAAGGCAGTGAACACAGTAGGACGGATCCACGCACTCTAGCCTTTGGGTTCCGAGTCGCCCTCCAAAGCCGCCTCGGCTGCCCTCGTGTTCACTTGCCCCACAAAGCATCCTCCCACGCCTGGGACCTCTGTTCTTGGTATTGGAAACCGACCCATCAGATTCGCGGGGATTCAGGCGCCTCCCCCCATCAGAGAGGGGAGGCGGAAGTGTTGTCCCCCGTCCCAGCGGG